CGCCTCATTGTCATCCCCAACAATGACCGGGGTAGCCATTGGCGACTCGGTGAGCTCCATGTCGGTCATCTCTCCCAAAAGGATCGAACAGGCAAATCACAGTGCACGAAAAGCGACTTTCGCTAGACAGGCTGAAGTATTGAGCACATGCATCACACACAAAGCATAACCCTTGCTCTGCAAACTGAACACAGCAAGAAGAAAAACAAGCATCTCAAAACAGAACCAAAAAGGACAGATGTTCTAGAACCCTCGAACACGTTACAACCCTTAAAGGAAGAATGTTGACAACCCTTTTGCACAACTGTGTCCAAAATCTCTGCAGCAACTGAAGTCTCAAACTGTCGTTTCCTGGCGTCTCAACCCTGCAATCCCTGGCATAAAAACAAACAACTGGACATGTCTGACACTCCAACCCCCTGATCAAGCCACTCATGGTTAGCTACTCCTTATTGCAGCCTTTGTCAAAGGTTTCAGTGCTTCAAACCACAAGTAAAAACCCTTTGCCTGGTGCACGGTCGCCAGTTGACTCCACACAGTTGCCTTCTTAAACAAAAATGGCGGCGGGCGGTCATCACTCAGTTCAGCTGTATCAAGGCAAGGAAAGCAGTCCAAACAAGGAAAAGTGGCACAGCAAAAGATCTCTACAGTCAAAGCGTCTCAATTTCCTTAGGAAAGAGGTAACTATCCGGACGCCACATTTCACGCAAGAACCAAATTCAGCAAAACTCAAAACGCTGCATCACAGAACAGAAGGTTCCTAAATCAACAAGAAACAGTCCTTCTACACCTCCGAACCTAGTCGGACCTCAACGGCTGCACTCGGACACGTCCTTCCACTAAAGTTCTGCTGACACATTGAAAGGCTCCAAATCCACACGCTACACTCACAAACCAACCGAAACTCTTCCGAACTCATCCGGACGGATCCGAACACAGACGGACAACAACGAAAACACACAAAACAGATTCAGAAACTCTCCAACAGAATTTTGACTTTGGAAAACTGTTCCGGAAAAAGCACATTCGACAAAGTTCAAACTTCAGCAGGCGCAATGCCCAAATCTTCCGTCACCTCTCCGATCACCAACGGACGAAAAATGCAAGAAACACGCACGATGAGCATACTCCCCTTCTCGAACTGAACGTTCACTGGGCGGAAGTTCGTCGTCATCGTCGTCTCGAGACAAACCCCTCAACAACGCTGCCTTATCTTCATCCAAACCAGGTACAAGTCCTACAGCATTGCAGAGGTTCAGCCACATCTCAATGAGCTTGCAACTTTTCGTGAGACCGTCGGACGGGTTGGAAACACCTTCCCAGTGTTCCAAGGTCAAGCGACGTCGTCGATGGAGGTACTTCACATAATGTGCTCGCAGTTCCATGTGCTTGACACGTCGAAGCAAACCCTCCATGGTAGAAATGGAAATAGCCGCTTTCCCATCGTTGTACAAATGCAACTTCATGCTCCTGTGGTCTTGGCTGGCACGCCTATCTCGTCAAGAGGAATCCCATCACGAGCTGTCTCGATCAGCGTCCCCAGAGCTACAAGTTCTTTGCTAGCCTCCGTGACGGCGATCGCTTCTGCTTCGTGACGCGCAGTCTTAGCTGAGGGCATGGTCCAGTATGTATACATGTACACCCGGGAGTTGATGTGCGCATGGTACATATCCGGGGGTTGCTGTGTGTAGCGTGCTCCCCGAGCAGAGTTTACCAAGCATAGTTGCCTTCGACTACCAGACTGTTTTTGTGTATGACGCGCATGTAAAAATCAATGCATCGCCACCAAATATGCGCGGAAACGCTGTCTTGGTGAGGAAGTATCGACGCGAAGCATTGCCGCATTGCGATCAAATCTGCACGGAAACCAGAAATATTAATCGCGATTAAAAAACAAGATGGAGCCCACGAACCCGAATGCAAACACGTTCGAAAAGCTACATATGTCCAAATGACACTCTTGTAGGACACTCTTGTGGGACACTCTTCTGGGACACTCTTGTAGGATACTCTTGTGGGTCACTCTTGTAGGACACTCTTGTGGAACACTCTTACAGGACACTCTTGTGGGACACTCCTGAAAGGCACTCTTGTAGGACACTCTTGTCGGGCACTCTTATGGGACACTCTCT